GTCAGGTGGTTCTGAAGGGTGGTAGTTCTGTAGTTTAGTTTTAATTTTGATGTGCTTGTAGGAGGGAGTACCGCATTTACCTACGCCACCATCTTGACCAGAAGTTATAAACTAAGTCTTTAACTAAATCTTTTTGGCTCCTTGGTAACTAGTACTTCTTTGGAGACTGCCTGACTTAAACTCTTCTTTCAAAGGTTGCCCATCATCCTTGCTTAATACAACTTCCCTATGTTTGGTTTGACCTATATATAACTCTGGCTTCTCGATTTCTTTGAGATTTTTGTTCCAATGACTTTATTCTGATTTAGTCACTTTGACTTTGGCTACTTATACATGGCTATTATTACTACTTTATAGTTTTAAGTTAGACATACTGCTTTTAAACCACAATTTTCATCTTGTAAAACTGGTGAGACACCTCATTAAGACATTACATCAACTTTTCTGCCATCCAGTGAGCCATGTACCTTTTCAACAATATTTGGGTCTTAGCCTTAGGGAAAGTTGTCCTCTTCATTGACTATACAATCTCAGCTCAAGTTGCTCCTCCTTGTGTCTGTGATCCGAAATTCTCTAGAGTGCTCTCTAGTTTTTTAGGGTGAAAGATATTATTGATTTGTGACCTTTCTTCTTTTCTAATTAATCATTTAGTGCAATAAATATTTTTGTAAGCACATTTTAGCTGCATCTCTCAAATCTCAATCTACTGTTATTTCATTTTCATTCAGTATGAAATACTTAACATTTTTTATTTTGAGTTTTTCTTTTATTTGTGGGTTATTTAGAAGTGTGTTATTAAGTTTCCAGACATTGGGGAACTTTCCAGATATCTTTCTTTTACTGATATATAATTTAATTCATTGTGGTCGGAAAACATTCTTTGTATTATTTTGACCTATAAATGTGTTGGTTGCACTTGGGGAAGAAAGTGTTTTCTCTTGTTGTTGGGTGGAATGTCCTATAATTTTCAACTAGGTCAGATTGTTTCAGTGTTCATATTTTTACCGATTTTCTGTCTGTGTTGTATAAGTTTTTTTAAGACATTTTTATCCCTGCTAGTTGATTCTCAGTTCTGTATCCTTTTTCTTTTTGTATTTCAGTTGGAAAAAGTGCTACATGCAGTCTGCTGATAATCACATTGATTATCATTGTCATTGATTAGCATTCTTTCTTTCTGATACTGCTTTTTATTTCTTGCATTTCTGTTTTTCTCATTTTTATTGTTTTCATCTCTGGTGACGTTCTATATTTGTTCAGACATGTTTTCCACTTTTTCTTTTAAAATGTTAGGGTTAAAGTCTGTTTGATAATCCAAAATGTGGGCCATCCCTGTGTCTTGTTCTGTTGATTGCCTTATCTATTGAATGTAGTCATTTTTTCTTTTTTTCCTTCTTGCTTTATTTGTGTATGAGATACATTTTTTTATTGGATGCTGGACATTTTTTTTTTTGTATGAACACTAAAGACTGAGGTAAATATCTTTGTGCTTAGTGTGGGCATTCCTCTTCTTTCAGTTTAATAGGCCTTATTTGGGGAAGAGAGGTTAGTGGTTGAATCAATCTGTTTGGAATTTGAGATGGGTTTAGATTGCTGTAGTTATCTTCAGTGCTCCAAAGACTTAATGTTCCTTCATGAGATGACTGCTGTTGAGAGGCCTGGGTATAAAGTGGTTTTTCCCATTGTTTCTGCTTCACTTTAAGCTTTCAGTAGGCTCTGCTTGCTGATACCACACAGTGGTCTATTTTTCTGCTCTTGTGCTCTCCCTCATCTATAAACAGTGGTTTCTTGTCACTCAGTGCCCGACTTTTGGGAACTTTGCAGTTTTCTTTTTTTTTTTAAATTGATTTTTAGAGAGAGGGGAAGGGAGAGGGAGAGATAGAAACATCAATGAGAGAGAACATTGAATGGTTGCCTCCTGTACGACCCCCACTGGGGATCAAGCCCACAACATGGGCATGTGCCCTGACCGGGAATAGAACCAGCAACCTCTTGGTACATGGGTCGACGCTCAACCATTGAGCCATACTAGATGGGCAACTGTGCAGTTTTCTTCTTCCAGTTTTCCTCTTCCAGTCTTAGTGTTAATAGTAGTATTTAAGCAGACCTTGACCACCTGACTCTCATGGATGGGTTTTCTCTCAGTGGGCTTGATCTCTCTCCCCGTTGACAGCTGAACTTTGCCTTGCACAGGCAGGATGTTTTGGCAGGAGCAGGTTTTTTTGCTTTTTATCAAAATAATGTCCTTGGCCCAAGGCTGTTTCTGGCTGCGTGTGTAGCTAGGTGACTATTCTCATATTCTCATATGGCTTTTGCTTCATAAAAAGCTAAGAGTAGCCCTGGCTGGTTTGCTCAGTGGTTGGAGCGTCTGCCTGCGGACTAGAGAGTCCCAGGTTCGGTTCCCACTAGGGGCATGTACCAAAAAAAACTAAGAGTAAAATGAAAAATGAAGTTACTTTAATTTATGCAACAGGTAATGTTGTCTTTCTAGTGTTTTTATACTATTACTTTTTACATACTTTATATACAGGGATGGTCCAGTATATGAAGTTGAAAAGTTTGGTCTAAGAACGGAAAAGCTGTTTACTTACCAAAAATGATGTACCTACAATAAAAGGAGAACAAGTTTTTTAACCTTTTAAAAGTGTTTTTTAAAAAGAAGATTGTACTATTTGGTTTTTATTGCATCATTCCTCAGTTGGACTTATGCTATGAATTTAGCAAGTTACCTATTCTTACATAATGGGGTACAAGAAGTATCAAGTTATATATATATATATATATTTTTTCTTATTTGAATTTTTACTCTTCATTCATGGATATTTGAAAAAAGTTGAAATAGAACACCAAAGTCATATATATACCTATACTTCTCAATATGAGCACAGATTTCAAAATATTTTTTTCCAGGGTGAATTATAACATATATGAAAAAAGCCTTTAGTTTAACATTGCCTTCCAAATTTCTAGCAAAAATGTCAGCTGATATTTTGACATTTTGATGCTTGGAGTTTATTTTCACCTCTTGAAAGAAATTTATAAGAAATCGGTGCTTTTAATCCATATTGAATTTTTAGTTAGGCAAGTTTCCTCCTCAGATGGCTAGGTCATTTAAATTTATGAATGAATTAGAGACCAATGTGTAAATCTCAGAACTGTCCTGAAATTTTTGCCTATTTGGCTATAAACTATAGACAGTATAGCTATAAAAGTTCCAATTTGCAAGCTCCCTACTTTCACAGTGTTGTAATGAGAGGAAAGAACAAAACAAATTAGGAAACATCAAGAGTAGTATATATTTTTTTTAAAAATTGAGGCAAAATATACTTAGGATAAAATGGACCATTTTAACAATTTTTAGGTATACAATTTCAGTGGCATTAAGTACATTTACATTGTGCAACCATTATTGTCAGTCAGTCCACCTCCAGATTGCTTTTAGCTTTCTAAACGGGAACTCTGTACTTATTAAACACTAACTGCTCATTCACTCCTACCCCAGCATCTCTAATTTCTGTCCCTATGAATTTGACTAAGGAGCATTACAGTTTTAAGGGAATGTAGCTATTCAAACTCAAATTGGTTTTAAAGCAGTTAGAAACTAGGATGGCTCTGATTTTGCTCATTGCCCCCAGTTTAGAGAAATTACAGATTTTGAGGAATGAAATGGCAGAGAAGGTAAAGTCACAGTTTGGGAGGAGAAACATTGATCTTATTGCATGTGAAATGTACTTGAAATATTGATTGTCGCTTTTGGAATGCAAATCTCTCTCTCTCAGTGTAGTGGGTTTAAGAGGATGTAATTGTGATAAAAGATTGATTGGATAACCCACCCCATGTCCAAAAATTTGGAGACACATATGAATCCCAGAACTATCCTATCTGACTCTGTGAAAGTATATTTTATTCTCTTCTCTGAAATGCAGAAATCAATCATTAGAGCCTCTATCCATGATACTACACGTTTAGTTCTTCAAAATAATAAAAATCTGTGAAAGAGAAGCATTCAGAACTACTTGCTCAGAACTAATTGGAGAACATTGGGTCTATCACTCTGCTCTTTAGTAGATACAGCATTGAGAAAACTATATATGTGTTTTGTACTGTGTATCCTTTGTACTGCAATTTTTTGCTTGAAAAAAATAGAAAAAAGACACACACAAAAAAAAGACAGAAAAAGTAAGACAAAATAGAAAGGCTAACATTTTTTTCTGCCTGAGGGTTTGGGAAAAACACAGGTAATGTATTTTCAGATTGTAGTCCCTAAATCTGAGCTGGCTATGGTTACAGATTCTCAGGGCATCCTCTCTTCCCTCCACCCCCAAACAAGTTTCTCTGCTGCCTACTTTGTTGTGTATGTTTATTTTTTATTCCTCATATGTATGACTTCCCAGAGTTTCTCCTTTTACGTTGTCATTGAGACCAATGCTTTTAATTGACACTGCATTTTAATCCATATTAAAATTCCTTTTGTGCTGGCTCAGCAGTGCATTTAAAAAAATGTTTTTAATATTTTATCCATCATTTTGGTTGTTGTAGTTAGGACTATTATTCAAGATATCTAGCCTGCCATAGAATGGAAATCTTCATATATTAAAAAAGAAGTTTTTTTAAAGATTTTATTTTTAAATATGTATTTATTCATTTTTTTTTTTAGAGAGAATAAGAGATGGAAACATTGATGTGAGAGAGAAACATTGATTGGCTGCCTCCTGCACACCCCCTACTGGGGTTAGAGACCGCAACCCGGGCATGTACTCTGCCCGGGAATTGAACCTGGACCTCTCAGTTCACAGGATGACACCCATTCCACTGAGCCACACCAGCCAGGCTGTTAAAAAACAATCTTATATTAACCTATATTTCTCTGGATCCACCCCTCTCTCCCATTTTGTATTTTAGTTCTTAAAACTTAAGAAAACGTTTTTATAAAGCTTACAAAAATTTAAAATACTTTAAATGTGATTATTGTATTTCTAAAAATGCATATATTTATTTTACAGCTACTTGAAGGAAATTTTGCCAAAGAAGTTAGCCATGAAATGGATGGACTTATTTTTCAGCCTACTGGAGTAAGTTCATTTGTGTGTGTGTAGGGAGGGTGGGGGTTGTATATGTATATACATGCATGTATATATAAAGTACATTTTTCTCGGACACATTTTTTTTTTAAATCCTCATCCTAGGATATTTTTCTATTCATCTTCAGATAGAGTGGTAGGGAGGGAGGGAGAGAAACATCGAAAGGGACACAGACTGGTTGCCTCCCACATGATCCCAACCAGGCCTGGGGACCAACCACAACTGAGGTACATGCCCTTGACCGGAATTGAACCCATGTCTCATTGGTCCGTGGGCCAACGCTCCAACCACTGAGCAAAACTGGCTAGGGCTCTCAGATACATTTACTTAGTATTGATTACTCCTGTAATCAGATTTTCCTTAAAACAAACTATTTGTTATAAAAGATTTCATTTATACTGACTATATAAAATAGTGAAATGAACAGGTTTTTGTTTTTTACTCAGTGTAAGAAATAAACATAGCTGATCTCATTTTTTTAAGAAAGTTAGTTTTTAATATAATAATATTCTTATAAAGTGAATGTTAATTTATATTCCTTGACTGCAAATCTACCAATAATATATAAATGCTTATTTCTTACTGTAGGCAAAGATACGTTTAGGTATTAATATTTCTAAAACTTCATTTTGCTATGGATGAGTAAAATTTAAAGAGTTAGCTATACTTGAAAAAATATATGATTCTTTGAATATTTATTCCATGTCAGATTTCTAAAACTCACTGAAAGACTTTCACCAACTTAGCAGTCAAACCATGTATTTGGAGTAAGTTTTGTTTTATTCTATATAGCAGGGTTTCTCAACCTCAGCACCATTGATGCTTTGATGCTTTTGGTAAGATAATTCTCAGCTGTGGGGAGCTGTCCTGTGCCTGATAGGATGCATAGCAGCATCCTTGGTCTGTACTTACTAGATGCCAGCATTGCCTCTCTTTCCCACCCCTCCAAGTTGTGACAAACAAAAATATATCCATTCACTGCCTAATTTCCTCTGGAGAGCAAAATTGCCTTTACTTGCCTTTACTTGAGAACCTGTGCTCTGTAGGACAGTGTTTCTCAAATGTGGTCTGTGGACAGGAGCATTGGCACCACCTAGAAAGTTGTTAGAAATGTCACTCACCCCAGATGTACTGATTAGAAACTCTGGGAATGGAGTACAGCAATTTATGCTTTAACAAGCTTTTTTTTTTTTTATCCTCACTCGAGGACATTTTTCCATTTTTTGTTCAGGTAGAGTGGGAGGGAGAGAGAGGAACAGAGAGAAACATCGATGTGAAAGGAACACATCGAGTGGCTGCCACCCGTACGACTGACCAGAGCCGGGGACAAACTGCAACCGAGGTACACGCCCTTAGCGGGAACCGAACCCGGGTCTCGCAGGACCGCAGGCCGACGCTTTAACCGCTGAGCCAAACCGGCCTGCTTTAACAAGCTTCCTGAGTGATTGATGCAAGTTCAAATTGGAGAACCCCTACTGATAGGAAAGAGCTGTATTTCATGTGCTACCTCTCAGCATATGCTGCATTTAACATTTTATTTATTGTTAACAGCATTAAGGATGCGCCCCCCCTCCCCAAGCTCCCACCCAACCCCAGGCATTCACCACACTATTGTCTGTGTCCATGGATATGTATATAGGCATATATGTTCTTGGGTTAATCTCTTCCCATCTCCCCACCACACACATACACACCAAGATCTGTCAGTCTCTTCCATGCATCCATGCTTCCAGACCCATTCTGTTTATCCGTTTATTTTGTTCATTAGATTCCACATATAAGTGAGAACGTGATATTTGCCTTTACTAATTCTATCTATCCTTAGAAATTAGTGCATTAGCTAGTTGTGAAGTTATATAGAGAGACATCAAGCTGGGTAACTGGAGAAAAAGGAAGGAAACTAATATATTTAAACACTATTATTAAACAGTGTATGTGCTTTACATATATAGTAAAACCCTGCTACTATGCAAATTAAGATACAATGTGATATGTGATTGACTTCTGTCTTCTTCCCAGCTCCCCATGCCAAACAGACAGATAGAAAATCTTTTGTGGTTGAAGGAAGAGGAGAAGAGGAGAGTTAGAGGCTGAGGACAGACATTATAGAAAACGCTATCATAGGAAAGCTGGAAGTTAGATCTTTTAAGTGCCAGTATTTTTTAGGCCTAATCTCCCGAGATTGAGTATTTAAAGTCTAAATATAAGAGTAATTAGAATAAATTTCATGGTTCAGACCCATGCATTTGTGAGATTTTGGGGATATGTAAGGGAAGTGGCCTGACAGATAACTGACAGATGACCATACTGGACATCACCACTGTGGTGATGTCCAGTATAGCCAGTTGATTTATTAGTCTGTTCCCATTCTAGCAACTACAATGATTTTGTAATTGATATCTGGTAAGGCAAGGCTCCTTGCTATTTGCCAGGATTTTCTTAAATATTTGTGGATATTTGGTTTAACATGTAACTTTCAGAATCGGTTTGTCATATTACCCAAAAATTCTGTGGGGAGTTTCTTTGGAATTGATTTGAATTTAGATTAATTTGGAGAAAATGGATGTTTTTACAGTGTTAAATTATCTTATGAATAAGGTATAGCTCTTTTCAGGTCTTATTCTGTTCTCTAACTGAGTTAAAGTTTATAATTGTTAATCCAATTTCTAAATATTTAGTATTTTCCATTCTTAGAGTAAATGGTGCCTTTTAAAAAATTTGCTACTTCCAGTATGCTGTCACATTGTTGATTATTTTATTTTGTCGATTCAACAATCTTGCTGAACACTGTTAGTTCAAATAATCATCTAATTATATATATTGGCCAGAACCTCCAGTACGGGTATAAACATTGATTCTCATTGGATGGAGATTTATACTTTATTCTCAGCCTCCGAGGTAATGTGGCTAAATTTTCTCCATTAAGTATGTTTTTGGTAGATTTCTGTTAGATACCTTTTCATGTTTCTATTTTTACAAAGCTCCCCCTCCTAATTATAAGTAGGTTATTAGGTTTGGGAGTTAACAAATGCCTTTTCTGCTACCTGTTATGTATGCCTTTTCTGTTGAGATTGTCATGCCATTTTTCCTTTTTATGACATTCATATAGTAAATTACAGTAATTTTCTCATGTTAATCCATTTTTGCATTCTGGAATAAATGCTACTTGATCATGATATATATAATTTTTAATATACCTTTGGATCTGGGTGTAATAGTTTTTTGAGGATTTCTGCCATCTTATTTCTTATCTTATCTTATCTCCCCCCCCCCTTTTTTGTATATTCAAAATAAATGAGATAATATGGAAAAAATTATATAAGTTTCAAGTAATATATAATACATGGCCATGATATTAAAAGTCAATTAAAATATTATGGTTTATACTAAAAAATAGAAAAGTCACTTTTCTACCTTTCCCTACACCCAAAGGTCCACTCTTAGGAGGTGGTCATTTTCTGTTGTTTTAGCTGCCTTTTTCTTCCTTTATTTGCAAAATCTATTTAGGCTGTACTTTCTTAGTTTTTCATTTTATACATAATCTGCTTATTTCTTCTGTTGAAGAAGAGGATTGAGCTTTCTAACTCCACCAACCAACACACCCTCGTCTGTCCACCTCTGTATTATGTAATTATATCACATGTTTGGTTAAATGAATATTCAGTATTTGTATTTCTTTTTTTTTTTTTTTTTTTAATTTTTTTTATCCTCACCTAAGGACATTTTTCCATTTTTTGTTCAGGTAGAGTGGGAGGGAGAGAGAGGAAGAGAGAGAGAGAAACATCGATGTGAAAGGGACACATCAAGTGGCTGCCACCCGCACGACCAACCACGGCCGGGGACAAACTGCAACCGAGGTACATGCCCCTAGCGGGAACCGAACCCGGGTCTCTCCGGACCGCAGGCCGACGCTCTAACCGCTGAGCCAAACCGGCCAGGGCCAGTATTTGTATTTCTATAGCAACATAAATATTGTTCACATCTGAGTGAACTAGTATATTTTTTTCCTTAGAAAACTGTTTTGTTTATGAATTGCCTAATTGTTTGTTATGATTATTACTATTTCTTTTCTTAAACTCTCTGAAATAACTGTTAATTTTTTTAAATACAGTCATATTTATTAGGTAATATGTCCAGTCCAGTTTTTACTTGAAATCATTCCTTCTGAAGTCCTCCCTTCCCCCCCCCCCCCCCCCCCCCCCACTAACTCACAGCATAGTGCAGTATCGCAGAGATCCCTTTTTACTTCCTAGGTTCTTACCTGAGATTTCTAACTTAGTCCATGTCCTGATTCCAGAAAGGTGAAATTCTGATGAGTTCATAAATTGATTCTACATTTTGTGCATTTGCTGCCTTCATCACTATAAGTTGACATTGTTGAACACAGGTATTTCTAGGTTACCTTTGTTAGTCTGATGGTAATGTATTAGGGTATATATAAAGGAGATGGAAAAGTAGTTACGAAGCATCTTCCATGTCACCTTAGTCGTGGACACTTAATCTTACAGCTTTTTAGGCACCACTGACACATACACATGCACATCACAAAATGATTTCTTTACCATTGCTTTTAGACTAGCTTGGTCGAAGTGATTTGTATCCTCATGCACACCTTCGTCTAGAATTTAGTCTTTCCCATGATAGTCTAGGACCTGGTCACCTTTCCTTTCTCTTACTTGGAGTTTCTTAGGTTCTCTGATGCCAGCTGATCCCATTCTGAGGCCTCCTGACCAAGAGAGATGTGATATTGTGACTGAAAACAGCAACAATTTGGGTCCTAATGAGATCTAGGATTTGTGTACGAACTCAGTCTCTCCCCCTGACCTCATTCCATAGGAATTATGGAGGAGTGGTTTGCTTTTATGATGCCAAAATTAATGTTATCTTCTGTCTTTTCTTTGAACAGTTGTTACTTAATTGCCAGATAACTTTAGAACTAAAACATGTCACATGATTTTTCTCAGAGCAGAAAAAATCTCCTTTGAACATA